AAAAGCAGTGGCTGTCACGGCTTGGGTGTCAGGCCACAGGCGGAATGGTGCAGGACTGGCAGGGCGGAGCCAGGGGGAAGCCGCGGCAAGCTCGCCCCAGCCCCACACTGTTTATTTTGTGCTGGCTTCGGTGGGGGCGTGTATTTAAAGGGAGCCGGGCAGCCAATGCGCGGGAAGGGGCTGAGCATGTGGGTAGCTTGTTTACACCAGACCTTCCCGAAGCGCTTTAACCCGGCCGGCAGCGGGCAAGAGGCAAATCCCGGCGCCGGGAGCACGTGTGTGGCGTCTCCTGGACCGGCAGCGCGAGGGATGGGCCAAGGAGCGCGGGGGAATTCCTAGAGCGCGCAGCTCAAGGTAAATAAGCCTGCAGTCTCCTCCGCAGGTGAGGCACAGGCAGGTAACCCTGGAACTGGGGGGAAAGGGATCCCCCAGCCGGGAAGGGAAGATGTCCAAGGGCTCCCAGGTTGGCCTTGTCCAGTCACATGGGCTGCTAAACCTAGAGCTGCACCTGCCCTGATGGAAGGGCACCAGTGGCTGCATGCGTGCCCGCCTCTTTAATACAGGGGCGGCCCATGGAGACAACTGATCCCAGCTGCTGGTCCCACCATACAGGCTACTGGGTCTGTGCATCCATCTCCAACCCCTCATACCTGTGGTCTCAGTGGAGGGTTTTTCTGTTGAAAGAGGGAGGGCCAGGAGGTATAACTCTGTCTCTGCAGACTGTGTTTGGCCCCAGGGCTGCACTTTGGCCAGCCCCTGGCCTGGATCAGGGAATAGGCAGCTTGGAAGGGAGGTGTGAGGATGAGTTTTCCTGGTCCCCCCTCCTGTAGAAAGAAGTGGCCAGCAAAGTGGCTTGAGCAGCGTCCACTGTATTTGAGAGTAACCATTATGGGGACTATGCAGGGGGGCTGGAACAATTTGTATAGTGGGGGTGCCCACAGCCATTGAATCAAACTGTAAACCCTGTATATGATGGAAACCAAGCCAGAGGTGTTGCATCGCCAGCACCCGTCGTTCCAGCGCCTATGGGAATAAGGGTGCAACAGAGGCATTGTTTTTCATGGCAAGGAGAACCGTTGGGTTTTGGCTGCTCCTGTGTGCACGAGACCCCGCTTGTCTTTGTGTGCACCCCTGTGACTTTCTGTGCCTACGCTGGCTACCTAGGGGCTGTCTACACTTGTATAGCTTGCCATGCCAATAAAATATGAACATACTGGATTACATTGTGTGGCTGCATGTGTGTGTGTGTGGCAAATTATACGTATGCAGGCACGCTCAGTTGAGATTGCATATATGTGTGATGGCATACAGCCATGTATATGCACCGTGTGTGTATGTATGCCTGCTGTACCGGGCCTCGAGTGTGATCCATGTAGTCATGTGTGTGTGGGTGGATGTATATGTGCGTGCCGTGCTGAGATCTTGATCTTCAGAGGTGCTGAGCACCTATAATTCCAAATGAATCAAAGGCAAACTATAGTCAGCACCTCTGAAGATCCGGCCATGTGTCTCTGCTTAGCTGTATGCCTCTATCTGCACTGACAAGGCCTTGTGTGTGTCTGCATGTGTCCCTGTTTGCCTACAACTGAGCATCTCCCTGTTAGGAACGGTGTCTGTGTAGGTAGAGGTTCTTGTGTTCCTGGCCCCATAGTTGTAGCTGTTCTCTGCCTATCGCTGTCTCGGGGTGGGTGGCTGTTCGCGTTGTATCTGTGTGTGTGTGTGTGTGTGTCTGTCCCTGTAGCTCTCTCCTGGGGCATTTGATCTCTGTAGCTGTGGTGTGTTGGCAGTGAAGTCCCTCGCAGTCCCTTCCCAGCCGGCACTCCAGGCCGGGGGCTCCCTGCAGCCGCGTACGTGAGGCAGCCTGTGCCGGGGACAAGGGGAGGGGGGAAGGGGAAGGTTAATTTCAAAACAAGCCGAGCTCGGGAGGGAACGAGCGAGCGAGCGGAGCGGGAGGTAAGCGCCGCGCCGCGCGGCCGGGCAGGGGGGCGGTGGTCCCCGGGATTGGGGCACTGCGGGGAACTGCCCCCGCGGGGCGCGCCCCAGGGGACCCGCTGCAAGCACAAGGCGGCGGGGGAAGGGATCAAGGCGGAGAGAAGGCGGCGCGGACCCGGCAGCGCGGGCTGCAGGGCACGGACCCGGGCGGCCGGAGGGGGTGTGTGCGCGCTGGGACTGCAACAGGCCGCCGCGTGCAGCCGCCCCGTGCACCTCCTGTTCCCCCCCCGCCGCGTGCAGCCGCCCCGTGCACCCCCTGTCCCTCCCCGCCGCGTGCAGCCGCCCCGTGCACCCCCGCCGCGTGCACCTCCTGTTC